CTGATTAACTTTTGTAGCTTGAATAAAGATTAATCTATATTCAATTTATAGTTTACTCAATTTAGGTGAAGATTGTTTTAAGTTCACTTCAGTTAAAAGTTGTTATATATCTTCAAAGCCTATTAAATGTTAAAAATAATGGCTTTCAATTATACTGTAAAGTTGAATGGCTATAATTAATGGCTAAAATTGAGGGCAAAATGCATTTAATAGAGACATCAGTAGCAGTATTGGTATCAATTATACTGACCTTCATTAATAATAGGCTAATTAGTAAAAAGATGCCATTAAACACATACATTAAAAATATAAAATATGGAGATTCAATGTGAAATCATGGCAACATAAATATATTAATATGTGATTAATCGTAATTAATTAGAGAAAAATTGATTGACAGCATTCATATATATTGATGTAAAATAATATAAAAAGTTTAATAAAAATAATTTAATAATATAATATAATATATAATTTATTCTTCGCTCTTGGCAAGTATTGACCTATGTATCAATATTAATTTACTATTATTCATATACTATTATAGTATTTATAAAAATTGCATTATATTTTGTATTAAGTTTCAGTAATTTTGTTATCTGCTTTTGTCATTTTTATCAGTTGTGTTTAAATATTTCTTTTTAGCCTTAAGTTGTTTTAATTTCCGTTATAGATAATATTGATCATTTTTCATCTTATATTTATTTTTTACTTCAATTTCTGAATTTACTTTTAGTTTTATTAAACAAAAACAACACTGCTATGTATTGACAAACATAATTTTAACCAGGGGCCATTTAAGATTCCCTGTGCCCAATAAGAGCACTGACGCAAAATAAACAACAAATCAGAGCAGTGCCGAGGCAAAGGAAGAGGCCACGACATCATTTAATTATGCCAAGATATTCATCCTTGACTCGCATCTCATTGCAGTGACAGAGTATTTTCCCTTGCCTTCATTCTGATTGACACCAACACTATTTGGTTCTGATTTAGAGCCACGACCCTCCTCTCTCGCCGCACCCTCTGCTAGCCAGCACAGAGGCAGTGGATACAATTACCCATTCTGATCGGGTTTCACTGCACTAAAATAATCCTCCCCATTACTGCCATAAATATTTCATGAATCATTTTGACAGAATAAAGGAGTCACTGAGGCCTCATATTAATCCCATGATGTTTTTTTTTTTTTGGTTTTTTGTCCTGTCCAATCCTGTCACCATAACGACCCCCCATTCTTATCAGTTCCTGCCGCTGTCTAACATTGTTTACGTCTTCATCAACAAAATGTAACTGGTTGCTAAGTGGCACATGGCCCGTGGCCTCATCTGCCCCCAGCATTACCCCTGCCCCGAATGGTCAGTGCACTAGCACATTTCAGCCGCCTCCCAGAAGCAAATGACATTTGTCATGGCCGTGACCCCTTGCCGCAACGATCGACTGAAAGCATGTTGAAGGAGCACAGTGGAGTTGGCTCAAACCCATGCAGCTATTTCTACAAATACATCTGTGTGCGGCAGGGTCAACATGATTCAGTCCTAGTGATACAAAACTAACTCAAATGACATTTAGCTGAGGGGAATCTCTGGGTCGGCAAGATTTGTTGCTTTGCCCTGGCCTTTGCCATGGATCTACCAGCGAGGCAGTGGAATTACCCATTCTGATCGGGTTTCACTGCACTAAAATAATCCTCCCCATTACTGCCATAAATATTTCATGAATCATTTTGACAGAATAAAGGAGTCACTGAGGCCTCATATTAATCCCATGATGTTTTTTTTTTTTTGGTTTTTTGTCCTGTCCAATCCTGTCACCATAACGACCCCCCATTCTTATCAGTTCCTGCCGCTGTCTAACATTGTTTACGTCTTCATCAACAAAATGTAACTGGTTGCTAAGTGGCACATGGCCCGTGGCCTCATCTGCCCCCAGCATTACCCCTGCCCCGAATGGTCAGTGCACTAGCACATTTCAGCCGCCTCCCAGAAGCAAATGACATTTGTCATGGCCGTGACCCCTTGCCGCAACGATCGACTGAAAGCATGTTGAAGGAGCACAGTGGAGTTGGCTCAAACCCATGCAGCTATTTCTACAAATACATCTGTGTGCGGCAGGGTCAACATGATTCAGTCCTAGTGATACAAAACTAACTCAAATGACATTTAGCTGAGGGGAATCTCTGGGTCGGCAAGATTTGTTGCTTTGCCCTGGCCTTTGCCATGGATCTACCAGCCTGTATATACTATACACCTATACACCTTGCACATGATGCTGTGTGGCACGTCGAGTGGCACATCCTTCAGGGCATGTTGATTAGTGTGAAAAGCTGTCGTGTGTTGGTGTGAATGGCTTGCCCTTGGACAGGCACTTTACTCAGGTCAGACACATCACACAGCTGCGGTCCGGATTCTGGCAGGGCCTGGATTTGCCGCTGAAAGGTTCAAACCAGTTAATTGGCCCTTGCTCAAGCCTGCGAATCACATGTCGGACTAATACTGTCAGCTGCAGCTATACACAGCCACCATGAAAGAGATAAGGAGGGTCGGATGGGTGTGGAATGAATATATTGGAGTTTTCTGGGCAAAAGTAATGATACAATTACAATAACATGATTCTCAGAATCATAGGCCAGATCTGATGTTGCATTATAGGATTTCTGTGTATGTTTAATTTGAACAAAAAGCATTAAAAGTAATGAACGCTATCCAATCTGTCTGTCTGGTGTCCTCATTGCAAGATCAATGAATGCACATTGTACTTTAAAGACAATTCAGAATAGGGCTGTGATAATAATGTTATTAACCATACAAAATCCCAAGTATATTTTAAAACAATCTCAATGAAGCCTTCACATATTTGCATGAATTATTCAAAGGCATTTTTAAACCAAGATTATCAGTACTCCTGTCATTTTTTCTTTTTTTTTCTTTTTCATGTTCAGCCATGCTGAAAGGAAGAAAAGGCATAGATTATTCTGGCTATCTTCATGAAATCTAGAGTGAACATTTTAATTTTGACACCATTTTCATTTTCAACAGTATAATTGCTCTGCCTGTGTCAAAAACTGCCATTAGGGGTGACCCCATCTAAAAGCATTCATACACTTTGAGTTTTCCACGTTCAGCTCTTGTACATACCTAGCCTACATTTAAACTTATTAAAGCAATAATAATAAAAAAAAGTATTTTTAATGTTTATAAATGTCTGCTTTTATAATTCTTTCGCAGCAGCAGAGGACTGACAAATATCTTTTGAGTGGAAAAAAAGAAAAAAGATGAATATTCCAATACTGCCATCTACTGCCTGATGTGTGCAGTAGCTGCAGGGGCAGATGCGTGATAATTGTAAAATCAATCAGTAGGCTATTTTTGAAGACGTCTACGTACCAACAGCAAAACGTCATTTAGCCTACTATCATAAAATAGGTGACGCTTTTGTGACGTTTTCCTACGTTTTATCATAGGGCCACTACGTTTATTTTTACCACTTAAAAATAATGTCCATATGTAATATCATTCAAACAAAGAGGCTTTCAGAATGATTAAGACTGACAACGGTGGCTAATGCAGTAGCAGTAACTGAGGTAAAACCCGTTGAGAGAAATGTAAATGTATCATTATGATTGTTGTTGTTGTTGTTATGGTGATAGTGTTCGACACCAACTTAATGAAATTAACACATAATTTAAGTAAACTGGCCTTTTTCCTCAATGTGTTTTACAGAAGCAACAAAAACAACCGAACGCCAAAGATCAATAATAAAAGCGTCAGCTCATCCCCGAGAATATCCGTAAATATAGTTAAAAGTATAGTCCTAGACTTCATGACAAATAAAACCGAAATGGTGGGGATTTTGATCCCAGTGACTCGAAAATTTGAAATGCTTCCTCCAAAAAGGGTCTTTCATTGATGCTTTCTGCAGACCAGTATATGGTACAGGCTTTTTGTGTTTTATTAGTCATTGAATCATTAATGTTAAAATTCAGGCAATAATGTCTACCAGGAGAATCCAGAGTTTAAGCATTCATAAGCGTTTTCCACATGAAAACAAGGCAAATATATAATACTTTTGTGTTCCATTTTGGACATCACATGAGTTTTAAAAAAGATTACTTAAAAATTGATTGTCTAACGAGCAAAATACAAATAAGACAAACAAGGCCTAGCCACTCATTTGTTAAATATATGGGCCTAATATATGGGACTTACATTACACTTTGTGCACGTCAATAAAACAACTCAATCAAATTGTAAAATTTCCAAAAAGGAAACAAAAGGTTGACAAATCAACCCTGTAATGGAGGAGCAGAAATAAGAACAGATCATTGGTAAAGCTGTAAGTCCCAATGTGAGAGATTTAACAATCAGGACAAGTTTTTCTTATGTAATTACCCCAACAATTACGACTTCCTGCTAAAGATGATGGAACAACAGTAGTTGTTCAGTATATGTCGTCGTTATATTGCTGCTGACGAGTTGGAACAGTTAATAAATAACTAATGAATACCTTTTTAAATGTAATACAACACCCGGGCACAGAGTTCCTCCTGCTTTGTATTGGTTGGTGAAACCTGTCACCCGGACAACAGGACACAAAGATAAAATGAGATACAGCCCACTTGTACCTTGTATCCTACAATTAAACCACAACTTCCTTGTTCCTCCAGTGAGGTCAGCAAACACAGCAGTCCTGGAATATACATACACACATGTAACATTTAAAAGAAATTTATTTCTTCTCTTTCAAGACAAATCTATGATCAAAACAGCAGGATGAGGAGGATGAGTGTCTTCCCACAGCATGCCACAGCTCTGGGAAACTTGGGACGAACTGTGAACGAAATCCGGCAGGAAGCTGAAAAGGGTAAGTCATGTTTGACAGAATATGCATAGCTTTAGTGCAAGGTGGTGTTTTTAAGGTTTTATGCTTTTGAAAGTCTAAAACATTGAGTCTATAAATGCTCACCAAGGCTGCATTTATTTGTTAAAAAATTAAAAAGTAAAACAAAAAAAGTTAAATTGTAAAATATTATTACAATATACTTTAAAATGTAATTTATTCCAGTGATGGCAAAGCTGAATTTTCATCATCATTACTCCAGTCTTCAGTGTCACATGATCCTTCAGAAATCATTCTAATATACTGATTTGGTGCTCAAGAAACAGTTCTTATTATCAATGTTGGAAACAGTTGTGCTGCTTAATATTTTTTGTGGAAATCACGATACATTTGGTTTTCAGGAAAATTCGATGAATAGAAAGTTTGAAAGAACAATATTTAAACTAGAAATCTTTTGTAACATTATGTCTTTGCTGTCACTTTTGATCAATTAAATGCGTCCTTGCTGAAAAAATTTATTCATGGCTTTAAAAAAGAATCATAGTTGTAGTATATAAATATAAATTACTTTTTACAGAAAGGAAAAAAAATATATAAAAAATAAAAATATAATATAATATAATGCAATAAATAAAAAATATCAATTTTATATATATATATATATATATATATATACACACACACACACACTATACATATATGTATATGTATAGAATACTCAATCCTTTAGAAAATCTGTGGAGGGAGCTGAATCTTCGAGTTGCCAAACGACAGCCAAGAAACCTCAAGGATTTAGAGAGAATCTGTAAAGAGGAGTGGATCAAAATCCCTCCAGAGATGTGTGCAAACTTGGTGACCAACTACAAAAAACGTCTTACCTCTGTGCTTGCCAACAAGGGTTTCTGCACCAAGTACTAAGTCATGTTTTGCTTGGGGATCAAATACTTCTTTCACTCACTCAAAGGCAAATCAGTTTCTAACCTTTATATAATGTGTTTTTTTTCTGGATTTTTTGGTTGCTATTCTGTCTCTATACGTTAAAATAAACCTACCATAAAATGACAGACCCTTCATTTCTTTGTAAGTGGGCAAACTTACAAAATCAGCAGGGAATCAAATAAATATTTTCCCCACTGTAGTTGTTTCTTTTGTTTTGAGCAAGTTTGTTTTTATTTTTTATGTGCACGTAGGGTGCTGTTTACTCCCGGACACACAGATGATCACATGGCATTATTCCTGGAGGAGGAGCAAGCTATGTTTTCAGGTGACTGTATTCTAGGAGAGGGAACGGCTGTGTTTGAGGACCTCCATGATTACATGAAGTCACTGCAGAAGCTCCTCAGCATGAAGGCTGACCTCATATATCCAGGTAAGTACATGTGCTTTTTGTCAGAGTGCTTTCTACATCACATTTTCAGTGACACTATGAAATGTTTGTATTTGTGTGTCAGGTCATGGTCCAGTGGTCCAAGATGCTTTTTCTAAGATCTGTGAGTATATAACTCACCGCAATGCAAGAGAACAGCAGATCCTAAACGTTCTGCAGGAGAACAACAATCAGCAGGGAATCAAATAAATATTTCCCCCACTGTATATATATATATATATACATACAGAAAAGCTTTTGGTACAAATATATTGGATTGTCTACAGTAAGAAGTTTTAGATGTGAACTAACTAAAGACAAATTTGTGATCCCAGGTAAATCTGAACTGGTATCTGACCTGGTTAGCCTGTCAGCCGGAGCCAGAATTCAAGCCATACGATCATTACCTATGCCATTTAATGAGAGGAAAACAATCAGGTTAACGTCTTTTGTAATTATACATTTATGCAACATTTCCAACAATGTTAACTTTTATCTAAACTTGAACTTGTACTTGTCTCAACAGGAACAGAGTGAACTCTGTCAAAATCTCAAAGACCATCCTCGCTGCAGACTGTCGTCAACGGGTGTCTCGGGTAAAAAGTTCAATGCCATTTTTAAATACAGATTTGTCATTATTAAGTTTTACGTTCCTAAAAGTGCTGCATGATATTTCAAGTCTAATAAGGCCCCAATTCAGTCTTTCCGCAGATTTCGTGGCAGCTTGGCATCAGCTAGGCAGCATTTGATTATATGGCAGGACACTCTGAAGGAGATCGGCGGCAGGTTTGGCACTTCTGTCCTCTCCTACTTCTTGTTCCTTAAATGGCTCTTGCAGTTCAACCTCTTCTCCCTCATCATCAACTTCTGCTTCATCACAATGCCACAAATTGTGCATGCGCCCAATATCAGCAGCATCACAGGCTTCAGAGGACTTGAGCTCCTCACTGGGGTGGTGAGTTCTTCTACTGAGTCCAATATACGAATTAACACTTTACAATAAGGTTTAATTTGTTTACATTAGACTGTGCATTAAGTAGCATGCACTGACAATAAGCATTTACAGCATTTATTAATCTAAATGATTGTATATTCATTGTTAATTGATGCTTGCTCATAATAGTTTAATCTTAATTTACATTATATAGCTTTAAATGTTAAAAATATGTTAGCATGTATGTATTCTCCTTAATCTATATTAAATGCTGCAAAATATTGTTATTAGCATGTTAATTAATGCATTAGCTAATCTTAAAGGAATGGTTCACCCAAAAATTTAAATATATGCTGAAAATGTACTCACCCTCAGGCCATCCAATATATAGATACATTTGCTTCTTTGTGGGAACAGATTTGGAGAAATTTACCATTGCATCACTAGCTCACCAATGAATACTCTGCAGTGAATGGGTGCCGTCAGAATGAGCTTCCAAACAGCTGTTAAAAAACATCTCAATAATTCACACAACTCCAGTCCAAAATACAAGTCCATAATCCATAATAATGCTTTTCCCCTGTTGTCCTCTCACATCAACATCCACCAACATATTTGTTTTGAACTGTTTTGGACTTTTTTTGCTTCTAAACAGTGCTTGATCTGTGGATATTTATCTCCTGAATCAGACGAGATGACTTTTTCACTGGACAAACAAATGTTATGAATAGAGGACTCGTATTTTAGCTGGAAACAACGATTGAAGTTGAAAATGTCTTGATGGATTTGTTTCTTACAAACACGCAGCTTTTCACTTCACAAGATGTTAATTGATGGACTGGAGTTGTACTTGTACTTGTGGATTATTATGATGTTTTTATCAACTGTTTGGACTCTCGTTCTGACGGCACCCATTCACTGCAGAGGATCCATTGGTGAGCAACTGATGTTATGCTAAATTTCTCCAAATCTGTTACGAAGAAGAAACAAACTCATCAAACTCAGGCTTGAGAGCAAGTCAATTTTCATTTTTGGGTGAAGTATTCATTTAATTAAATTATCCTAATTGCCAAAGTGTTCTTTATACAAAACTTTAGTTTTATAAAGCTTTAAAATATGGAGAATGCCATTATCTCTGTCGACAGGGTTATTTCAACCAGACGGTCTTGTTCTATGGTGGTTATAATGGTGAAGTGATCGTATCCAAACCAGCTTACAACATGCAGTTGGCCTATTTTTTCACCATAGCCGCATATCTGGTGCTCTGTGGGGTGTCTCTTATCTACAGGTAACATATTTAACAGTACGGTAGGTTACTATGGCTTTTACCGCATAGAAGCAATACAAAGCTTGTTTTTGGTAGCTAGATCACTTCTTGTTCACCGTTTAGCATTTGCACATTTTCCCAGAATTTACATATGGAATATTTGCCATTTGAAAGCCATATTGAAATATTGAATGTTCAAGTCAATGGCTGATTGTTTCCCTAAAAATGTGTTGAGGTTTGAAAATTTGCATATTGGGATTCAAAGGTCACTACATTTCATAAAAGTAAATGATGCAACAAGCGACCATTTCAATGCCAGAAGGGAATGCAGAAAGATCTGGTTTTCTTTTTGCTCCTCCTCAGCATGTCCAGATCTTTTCAGAAGAACTTTGTGTTAGAGACAGGGCCTGTCTCTGGAGAAGCATGGCGTCTCCTGTGCAGCTGGGATTTCAGTGTTGTCAATGAAAAAGCCATACAGTACAACAAGAACAATCTCGCCATTCAGCTGAAGGTTCATATTTGTTTATCTTGTAGATGTCATCCCTTTTCTGTTTCCATTGGCTCATTTTGCACATGTCTTCTAGGAGTCCTTATCAGAAAGGTTACAGGAGAAAAACAAAATGTCTCTGTCTGACAGAATAAAGCATCTGTCTCTCCACCTACTGGCCTGGCTGCTCTCTTTAGGACTTGCCCTAGGATCCGGTGCAGGCATCTACTTCCTGGGGACAGATCCAGAACTGGTAAGTTCATTCACAGTGAGATAATATCACAAAAATTCACATTTTGCATGCATTTCACACTCTTGTGCTTATGTTTTGCTGCAGGCATTCAGTTTCAATCACAATCCAAATGATTTAAGGGCAGAGGCATCTACCCTGCTTCTGCCTGTGGTCGTGTCGCTCATCAACCTGATAGTGCCTCTTCTCTACTCTCTCATCAGCACAATAGAGAGTTACTCCAACCCACGTGCAAAGATCTACATCAGCATCATTAGGTGTGATCATTGTTTAGTTACAATAAATTACCAGAAGCATCCATTGCTAACAATGTCAGGTGACCTCGCCTTTATTGTCTGATTTGTTCCTAGAAGTGTTATTTTAAAGATGTCCATTCTTGGAATCCTTTGCTTTTACTGGCTGAATTTCGTTCCTGACAATATCTCAGTAGGTGCACCAAGAGTTCATTTTATCATGGGTTACTAGCAAAGCTTGATTATGTGTCTCTTTACTCGATTGTAATCTTTTTATTCAAGTGTTGGGAGTCCTTTGTGGGGCAGAGCGTGTATCGACTGCTGATAATTGACTTCATATTCTGTCTACTTGGCATTTTCTTTGGGGAATTCCTACGCAAGTGAGTCAAATACAGGAAGTCAAGTACATTTTGGCTGTTGAAGTAGGTCTGCAAAAACCAGTTGATCACAGCTGGAAAATGGCAGCTACTAAAAGCAACCATTTTCAATTTCACAATTTCCACCTTAAACCAGTAGTATAAACCCATCTGCTGCAAAAGTTACAAATATTTTGCAGCTTCAAGGGATAGTTCACCCAAAAATGAAAATTAGCCCATGATTTACTCACCCTCAGGGCATCCTAGGCATATCTGGCATTTGTATAATGGCAGTGAATGGTGCCCCTGTTTTTGAAGCCTAAAACACTGCATCCATCCATCATAAAACTACTCCACACCGCTCCGGGGTGTTAATAAAGGCCTTCTGAAGCGAAATGATGCGTTAGTGTAAGAAAAATATAGATTTTTAAAAATGTATAAACTGTAATCTCCAGCTTCCGGTCGCTCAAGCAGGCGCCTTCACAACAAGGTGTAGTGGAAGGCTCGACGTAAGCTCCGGGGAGAAGAGTGTAGTCTCGCGAGAACCAAGTTTTATTTACAGCACAGGGAAACCACGTGAACTACATCTGTAGTTTGTGCCACCGCTGCAGCCTCCTGCATCTCGCGGAGTTCCTGGTCGTTATACTCCGGTTCAAACAAATATGGCTGGGCAAAAAACTCATTCTCCCCTTGCCTTATATCGAAATCCTCCGACATTTTCACTCAGAATCTTCGTTTTGTAGTACTAGTTCGTGACAGGTGTTTTGTTTTGCTTTCTCCTCGGGGCTTCCGCGTTCGTCACTCTTCTCCCCACAGCTTACGTTGCGCCTTCTGCTACGCCTACGTCATACGCTCGAACGCCTTGTCGTGAACGCGCCTGCTTGAGTTTATAAATTGTAAAAAATCTATATCTTTCTTACACTAACACATCGTTTCGCTTCAGAAGGCCTTTATTAACACCCCGGAGCCGTGTGGAGTAGTTTTATGATGGATGGATGCAGTTTTTTCGGCTTCAAAAACAGGGGCACCATTCATTGCCATTATACAACTGGGAAGAGCCAGGACAATTTTAAATATAACTGCGACTGTGTTCGTCTGAAAGAGGAATGTCAGATACGAGGGTGAGTAAATCATGGGCTAATTTTCATTTTTGGGTGAACTATCTCTTTAAGTGTTGTTTTACAGATTCCAAATAATAAATACACTACTGTTCCAAAGTTTGGGTTTGGTAAAATTGTAAAACGTTTTTGACGTCTCTAATACTCTTAGGCTGCATTTATTTGACCAAAAATAGAGTAAGACGGTACTGTTGTGAAATATTTTTACAATTTAAAATAACTTTTAGAATTTTGGTTTTTATTTTAATATATTTAAAAAGTAGTGTATTCCTGTAATGGCAAAGCCGAATTTTTAGCAGCCATTATGCCAATCTTCAATGTCACATGATCCTTCAGAAATCATTTTAATATGCTGTCCTGGTGCTCAATAAATATTTATTCTTATTATCAATGTTGAAAACAGTTGTGCAGCTTAATAGTTCTTTTTTTTTTCAGAATTCTTTATCTCAAAGAACAGCTCTGATTTAAAAAAAAAAAAAGTAACATATCTATAATGTCAACTTAATGGAGTTTAATGCATCCTTACTGAATAAAATAATTTGTTTAAAATTGTATTAATATATATTTTTAATATATTATTTTTTTTAAATACTGACCCCAAACTTTTCAACGATGGCATACACTGTTAATAATATATTTGCCTTATACTTTGTACTATAAACGGTGTTTTTACAGACTTATAAATAATCTAAGCAAATGGTTTACATTACAGTTCTATTCATGTGCATACTGTGGATTCTTCCATTTGAAGAGTAATTACCGATTACACATGACACAGAATCAATAGATTCACTTTCATTTCACTTTTTCAAAATTGCTACAGTGTAATCGGAACCATGTGCATCCAGAGTCTTGGCGTCCCAGAGTTTGACATTGCTAGGAATGTACTTGATCTGATCTATGCCCAGACTCTGGCTTGGTAAGTCAATATCGGCATCTCTTCAGGTCTATACTTTGATATTCCTTCCAGCTGATTGCACTGACTCTTTTATCTCTCTTCCTGTCTGCCCAGGATTGGAATTTACTTCTCCCCCCTACTTCCTGTAATGCAAGTCCTAAAATTGTTTATCATCTTTTACTTGAAAAAGGTAAACACCATTATAGCATCACTTTGTCCTTGCAGTCAAGATTATATTGCATGTTGTTAGTCTTATGGTTCCTGTTTCAGATCAGTCTGAGTATGAACTGTCAGCCTCCCAAACACACTGGCAGAGCCGCTCAGATACAAACGGTCTTCATCGCCCTACTCTTCTTCCCTTCGTTTGTGGGCGTGCTATCCATGGTAGCATTCACAGTGTGGAGGTGTGACCCTTTCATTTTACATTTTCAATTCTTGTTCATCATTGTCTTTATACCAAGTTACATATCTTCAGTGCTACAATTTTTTTTTGTGAACATTTTCAAATTGAGCTCTTAATAAGCTGCTTTTCAGATGACAGACTAGAAAGCGGCACCAGTTAATATAATAAATGCAAAGTGTTTTTGCGTTCCACTGTGCTGCTTTTTTAATCATTTGTCTATGTAGACCTGTGCTAGATGGACGCTTTGTTCTGCAAGTGTCACATTTTTAAAATACCATGTCAAATATATTTATTTTGTTGTTTTGACAGGGTATGCTCATGGAAAGAATACATAAAAAAAAAAAAAGGTAACTTTGCCAAGTTAAAAAGAAACGTGTCTCAAGTCCGCTACACCTTGTGTTTTAAAACATAGGTTGCATTGTGTAAACAAGACCATTTGCATTCTTGCTTTTAAAAACATGAGATGCAGTGCAGAGGAATGGAAAAAATGCAGGCTTTAGAGATGCGTTTTTAAAAGCTGAACTTACCACGCTTTAGGAAAGACAGTTGTGTGTGAGACACCCAAAAAAAAAAAATGGTGAGAGGTGCGTAAAGGTCAAAGACATCCATTTAGATCAGTTGCTCCTTAAAGGGTTAGTGCACCCAAAAATGAAAATTCTGTCATTAATTACTCACCCTCGTGTTGTTTCAAACCCGTAAGACCTTAGTTCATCTTCTGAACACAATTTAAGATATTTTTGATTAAATCTGAGGGCTCTCTGACCCTCCTATAGACAGCAAGGTAACTACCATGTTCAAGGTCCAGAAAAATACCAAGATGATCGACAAAGTAGTCATGTGACATCAGTGGTTCAACTGTAAAGTTACAAAGCTAACTTTAGACAGCACGACAGTATCATGACGCGAGCGTGTGGCAGCGCTGACCCAGATCCGGCGTAATGACATCATCACACCGGATCTCCGTTCTGCAGTTATATCTACTTGAGCGCCGGCGCCGCCACACGCTCGCGTCATGGTACTGTCGTGAACTTTGGGTGAACTAACCCTTTAACCGGGGGCCGCAGCACTTCAACTTCCAAGGGCACTTCAACATTATTTAAAACTATTTAAAATAATACAAAACAAGCATTAAAATAAGCCAAAACGACTAAAAATCAAGATATCGACAAAGCCTATTTTAAAAGTGTGATTTCTGAACCCAGTAAAGACATGTAAATTACTCAAATCAATTAAAATTAATAAAAAAAATTATATAATAAATTTAAATTATATAAATTAGTTATAACAAACTTCCAAATATACAATGGGAGTCCAAAAAAGTTTTAAATAGTAAATCATGAACATTTGAATATTGTTTTGGACATTGGGGGCCTTGCCATCAAAAATGTTGAGAACCGCTGGACTAGTGCATTGTTTACATAGAAAAACAATTCAAAAGCAGTGTAGTGGGTCATAAAACGTGTTGTGTGAACATAGTTTTTTTCTGGTTGTCTTGCAGTCTGAAGCCCTCAGATCAGTGTGGGCCCTTCCAGGGTCTCGACACCCCCTTCCACACCATTTTCAATTGGACTGATTCTATTCAGGACTTTCCTGAAAGTAACTGGGTCTGGTGGATATTTGAAAACATACTGAGAAGTGAACTCTTCTACTACCTGATTAGTCTCATCGTCCTGTAAGTCCACAAGCTGGATGTTTTGTGAACTATTCACATAGGAAAGGTCCATATATTCACCCATATTTTTCTGGGCAGATTTTCTGATCTTTTCTCATTCCTTTCTATCTTCTTTCAGAGTCATCACTTATTTTCTCTGGCAAATCATTCAGGGACGGAAACAGCTCATCAAGACTCTGCGAGAGCAGATCGTGAATGTGAGTGCCGAGATCATACGAACCTCACTTTAGCATCCACCGCACTTCAGTGTCATCAAAAACTACTATATATGGATAAGAGTTTTAACCTCAGTGACTCCATTCTTCCATCTGTCTGTCAGGAAGGAAAGGACAAAGCATTTCTCTTGAATAAACTGCAAAATCTACAGAAGGAGAGAAGGGAAATGGCATCTTACAGACCTCAGGTGCGTGTTTCTCGGGTTCTGTCTGGTCTCACCTACTTCCTCTTTGCTTCTAGTTATCGTTAGTAAAAAGCTGTAGTCAACAGAAAGAGAAACATATCGCGATTGTGGAGATTTCAGCCCAATACAGTCGAACTCAGGGCACTACAATCCTTAGCTGGCTTCAGAGAAACCCCAGAATAGGGCAACTACCAACGATACTCTACTGCCAGGGGCCGAGTCTTCCAACACCACAACCACTTAATAGACAGGGAGCTAGATTTATGCATCTCATGTGTTATGATGGCCTATAAAATCTGAAAAAAGTACCAACAGCATTTATTTATAAAGCTGAAATTGAACTTGCATATTTGATCAGTTCTGCTTAAGTTGTTATTGTAAAGTCATTTTGCTCATTTGAAAGCACTTTTAAACATTCTGATCTAAATTTCTGTCATGTAGGACTTTGACCAGACACCACATTTCAACCCAAACTGGATGAATACGCTGCCCTTGGATATGTGAAATACATTCTTCAATTATTTTCAAACTGTACATGCTTTTTTTGTAAATATTGCATTAATCTAACTTATTTTGAAAATTCCAACTATCATCTCTCTACTGGATGCAAAGAGGAATGATTTGGAACATCAGCAGTAATGGCATTTTGTGCTTGTCTAGTAGGTGACCGTGTGTTTACTGTGGAGCCTCGCACATGGTATGTTTGAAAAAAAAAAAAATAGATAGTGTGGTCACAAATTAAGAATGTGTTCCCAAGATTTATTTGTGGCCATGTTTTATTAATTCATTCCGTTGTTTTAGTTAAGTCACTCCCACACCGTATTAATTTGTTCCCTTGTTTTAGGTTAATCATGGCCATGTAGTGCAGTATAATTTTCATGTATTTTTTAATTTAGTTAAATAATGGCAGACTAAAACAAGAGAACAAATATTAAGTAAATTTTCCTTCACCCATCATGTCATGTGCAAGGCTCCATAATTTCCTCATAAGTAGGAAAATTACTGTACTAGGAAATTTTGCCCATAGTAATTTGATTGTTTTTTTTCCTCAACACATATTCTGATGCTTTACATACTTTATAGTTTATTCTGATAAAAGTGGTATCTGTGTAAATATCAACAAATAAATATTTTAATATGGAAATAAGTGTTATCTGTGATGAGCAAGTTGGAATCAAAGAACCTCAAAGCTTTGTTTTACTGACAACATTATCAATTTTATTGTGAAAAAGTTGTTGCTTTTCATACACTAAGAACTGTACAATCAATAATTTAAAAAAAAACATTGTTTTTCATTGTTGTTGTAAGAACTTCTGATAATTACGCAAGTTATTCAGCAGCTTTTAGCTTCAACCAAAGGAAAATAGTGTTTACAAATGTGTTCCTACTGCTCCACCAAATCACATTTCCCTTTATCCCGTTCACACAGAAGAAAACGCCCCTTTGGCAACACCAGGAGGGTCCCATCATACTGCCCCACTTAAAAACCATGAGCGTATTTGTTTTAAAATATAATCAGAGGCTTCCGTTACAAAGAGGAAAAACACTTTACAATACAAAAACAAGTTGAAATGGAACGTTCTAACTAAGTCACAGAATTTCTTTGCACCGTATGATGTGCATATTACAGAGAACAACAACCATTGCTCTCAGGTGAGATGGTTAAACTAATACCTACAGATTCTGAGGATGCCCAAAAAGGAATAAGACAACACTTCTTTGTAGTATTTCTATTACCACAACCTTTCGGGATTTAAAGATTAAGGTGGGGCAATAACACCTTCTGTGGACCCTTTAGTATTTACGTCACCCAACAGATGGACACCAATCCGCACAACTGCTCTAAACACATAACCAACATGTGCCAGGTTCATTCTATCATCTATAGTGACTGCAAAAGGCCTGTAGCAAATAGCTTATAGGTCAAACACCGAGAGCTCACAGCCCTCTGAAGAAGTTTATAGGCCCCCTGCTGGCAGCCTGTCGCTCAGCACACTTTAAACAGGCCTCATTGGGCAGGTCTGCCGCTGGAGACCATGGCTCGTCCCTGAGATGAAGGGGGTGGAGGAGAGAGAGAGGAAAAAGACTGCTGGGAGGTTTGATGAAATGAAGAGCACCCATTATTCAACAACTACGGCTCATCAGACCTGGAAGCGAAATGAAGTGCTGAAGATTCCACTTGTAACATCACCATTTGATTTGAATTGCTTGAATAGGATTATTATCCTTCATTCTGACATATATCTATAGAGAAACCATGCGGTATGTGCAGATTAAAAGGGCTTCAAGCAAAGACCTGACTTTTGAACTCATGCTGCAACACTGAAAACTGGTAGAACACATGGACTTTGAAATCATTGAGCATTTTAGACAGAAAAGGCCGAAAACTTGTAACTGCACAGACAGTATAACTGGAAAGTACTGAAATGTGTGGCAAATGCAGGGTTTGAGTGAGAAAATCAGGCCGCAAGGCGGTTGTGGTATTGAACTCTAGACATGAGAAGAGAGGTAATTACAGTAAAAGGTTCAACTATTAAAATATGACAATCCCACAAGACGTGCAGGAAAAAACTAATCAGAGGAAGTGAGGAGAAGCTGAGAGTAAACAAAGAGAAAAAAAACCTTTGCCAATACTGTCCCGAGGATAAATTTCCTGTAATCCGTGTTTAAGACGACAGTTCTGACGAATGACAAATATTTCATCAAACACCATTTAAAATTGGTCAGAATCTTCAGCGAGGAAAGACGGCGAACCGAAGGTGCCTGGAAATGCTCTCAGCCTAGTGGTCCCACAGTCCACATTCAATAACACAGTCACTCTGTTGATTAAGTCTTTGTGCAAATGACCAGCAAATTCAGAGACCACCAATTTGCAATGCAAATCACATTTTTAATACATCAGTTCATATGTAAGCACTACAAGTCATTTCGCATCAGCCCTCTCTCACTGTTGGTAAGCATGCAAGACCATGTGACCGAGGTACTTCAGTTTTTGCAGGGAGAACAGGCCCCTGCAAAGAGCAAAAAAGAGGAACACCATATATGCAGAGCACTGAGGATAATGAGTATGCAAATGAGAACACAACCAAAGCGAAATATAAGCCCATAAAACAACTTCAAAACGAGGCCTCTCAGCTAATGCAGGGTTTGACCTGCATGGATTCTCCAGCAGAGGGCGCTAACACAGTAGGAAATATGCTGCTAGTGGTCACTGCAACAAAATCAAAGAGTCTGATGAAGGGTTTGTTTTTATTCACGATCTGTGAGTGAGGAACCAACTGTACTGCAGCAATGTGAGGGGAGAAATATAGCCGTCTGTAGCGACAGGAAGTGTTTGTTCACATCCTGCTCTCCCCACACCGGGAGGTGCCACACCTCTGTTGCGCCATCGGCCCAGCCCCGTGTCGATTTCCTTGTGTGTTTGTCCGCGTGCACCTGAGTGTTATATAAGGGAGGGGGGCGGCCCCGCCCCTGTGCCCGGAGGCTAGGAGATCTTACAGTTGCTCCTGGTGCAGTTCTGTGGTGGACTCTGAGGCGGCCGGATGGATTTCGAGCGTTTGAGGCTGTTGCCTTTGCTGCCTCCAGCGGCGTTGGCTAGTGAGTAGGACCGTCCGTGCATCATAACGGCGTTCATGCCGTTCGCCATGGAGAATGACTTCAGATGGCTCTTGATGGCCACAGGAAGCGGCAGCTTATCGATTAGGTGCACAGGGGTGCAGGACACAATGGCACGGCAGCACAAGTCCTGCAGACTGAATACTGCAACGACACAAAGACAGAACACACACTTGAGTTACAACACAAAGGCGATCAGAACGAACCTGAACAGCTACATAATGAAGCCATAAAAACAAAAACAAAAAAATAAGCATGTGATACTCCAGGGATTCAACAGTAGCTGCGATGCATCCGCATGCTGAGATCATTTTTTATTCTCTTTACAAAAGTAATGAGAATGTTTTAAATTATTCAACATTCCCTCAGCAGATGTTAACACGCTGCCTGCATTTCTTTTCAAATGGAGTCGAATGCAAATGAGATTCACATGGGAAGCCTGACATTGGAATATTAGTTAACTGTGTTAGAATGTGATTTACATGGAAAAACCTCTGGGAAGGACGTTTGATTCGTCTATCAAAACAACAACAACATAGTGCTGTTAGCAAGGCTTCTATTATGGGGACTGGCAAGCCCCAATAATAAAATAAAAAATAAAATAAAATAATAGTTTGAGGTCAGTAAGACTTGTTTTTGAAAGAAATATCTTGTACTCACCAAAGCTGCATTTATTTGATCAAGTACAGTAAAAATAATAATAATAATATTGTGAAAAAATATTACAATTTACATTTTAAAATGTAATTTAAATATTTTAAATTTAAACATTTTACATTATTATCAATTCTAAAAACAGTTGTGCTGCTTAATATCTCTGTGGAAACCATGATACATTTTTCATGATTCTTTGAATAGAAAGCTCAAAACATTTGCAATTGTAATCTTCTGTAACATTATAACTTTTTTGTAACATTATAAATGTCTAAAACTTTTTATCAATTTAAAGCGCCCTTGCTGAACAAAAGTATACATTTCTTTCAAAAAACAAAATCTTACAGACCCCAAACCTTTGAATGATAATAGAATAGAATTGAATCTTATTCTGCTTCTGCATGAACAGCAATAAAGAGTGTAAATCGCTGCCATTTTGAAAGGCATGTTGAAAGCGCTTCCCGTTCTCAGAACTGCAGGATGCTGCTTCTGCTAAACAGCTCATCTGGGGCACTGTGAGGTCTCATGAGAAAATCCCACATAATAGTGGAAACAGACAGAGAAAGTGCTTCGCTGAAAGCCTTCTGCCTCTAATTACATGGCTCTGGACGACAGAGTGTGGTTTTCTATGCTAATGGAAAGCTATGCCGATCATGCCAGTCTTCCTGCATCACCCAGAAAGTCGAAACCAAAGATTTCTACTGTATTTGTGGGGTTACGATCTAAAATAGCAGAAAGAATGGACCTTTTTGTCACTTTCTTATTGATTTCAAAGTGAAGAGATGTTGGTGCATCGCTCTATCATCGGTCTATTAATGAACACATGCTTGAGGAAGACTCACCTCTGTTGGGCCTCCAGAACTTCTCCATGCCATGCCTCATTAGCACGATACGCGACAGCTCTGTAAACGACTCGATGACGTTGAAGTTGCAGAGGGGACTCACTTCGAAAAACGTCATGCCGTTCTTTTCTGCGTACGCCCGTGCCTGCTCTGTGGGGACCTGTCGCTTGAACGCCAGGTGCAGCCGGTTACCCACAAGAATACGGGGTACACCAGGTGCATGCTGAGGAAAGACAAAGAGACAAGAAAGTGGGTTAAAAAAAAGGGGGATGGGAGGACCAGAGAGATGAGAACGAGGGAGATACCCAGTCCTGTCAGGCTGAGTGAATCACAAACAGTGTCACAGCTGGCCTGTCTCATTTATTTATTCAATGAGGCCTGTCATATCTGTGCCTTTCTCTAGTCCACAGAGAAAAGAGCACTCACTCATCTCTAGGGGCTGTACTGAGCAGTCACAAGTGGGTTCAAATAAAATCACAGTCAAGTCTCAAATCTTATTCTTTGAATCTTAAATCTCAAATATTGCTCTGAAAGACATGTATCAGTTATTAGTTGATATTGGATATTTAATAATTATGCTCATTCCTTTAATCATTAAAAATACTAATAATTTACTAACACTGTTCAATATCATCTTCAGCAAATTTGAAAAGAAATCTCAAAAAAGTATAGCAATTTTTCAAACTGTGCATTATAATGTTGCCTAAATTTACTTTTACATTTAAAACAAAATGATTGATTTTACTTTTTAGGACTCCATTTAAAATAGTAATTGTATAATTGAATTAGAAGTACATGGTTATTGGCCATAACATGAAATTACTTGACAGCTTAATGCTATCGGTCAGAATTTTCATATTAGTTCATCATTACTCACACGACTAAATGCCATATAAAAAATGGCTACATTAAATGTTGTTCAGTTTCATCTGGTGTAAGTGGACATTGCTTGGACAGAATCAGCTGCAAAGTGGACCAGAAATTATGCTGAGAGTCAAAACTTTGACTCTCTTTGAGAGTACTCTTGGAAAGACATGAGTCAAATCACAAGGTTTCAGCCAATTTTTAAATTAGGTCTTACAGATGAATAATAATGTTACCATTAATAATGTTTTATTGGCAGCAATAAAAAAATAAAACAAAATGTATACACCAGTAATAATATATATGGAAAAATATATCTACACTACCATTAAAACGCTTGGGGTCAGTACGTTGTTTTAATAGATTAATATCTTTTTCCAGCAAGGTGACAGTAAAGTGACAGTAAAGACATATAATCAGGGCTCTACAGTGCGACCATTTCAGTCGCATTTGCGACTGAAAACTACTGCGTGTGACTATGAAAACATATTTAGGAGCACCAGTGCGACTGACCCGATCAGCATATGCGTGTTTGCACTGAGGGAGCTTCAAAGGTTCTAACGTAGCCTACTTACATGTTTCTGCAGTGTTGAGTAATGGATCACAGACGTATCCTCTCATTATAACAAACAAAGTGCCGACGGAGTGTAAATAAGAGATTCATGTGCAGTGTAAGGAGCTTCGTTGATTATAATGGAGTTTTGTGAGATTGCGATGAACTAAGATGAGTGACAGATTTTAATTATTATTAAAGGAGTTTGCAAATGTGATATTGATTTAATACAACAGTTCATTAAACAAGAAGTGAATATTAAGTGACTTATATTGTCCGACAACAACACAATTGCCTTATTTTGCTCTATTTCGTCAATGAAAATAGTTTAAAAAAAGTAACAGCTGAGCCGCTGCGCATCTCCATTCAAACACAGCGGTGTTTTGTTTACGAATGAACTGCATATTTAAACGAATCTAGTGAGTCAATGATTCATTTACCAATTCATAAAGACAGTCACGTACTTCGTTCCTGAATGAATCAGCCATTCAAACGAATCAATTGAATGAATGATTCAGTGATAAAATCAGTGACTTGCCGCCACCTGCTGGCAGTTTAAGTTTAATTTTTAAAATATCTTTTCTGTTATTTAAATCATTTAATATTTCTATATTCAAAATGTTATATTTAAAACATAAACCTCAACATGAATTTATGAATTTAATTGCACTCATGCGACCTCTGAGCCTCATTAAACGTCTGAAAATACACATACAAGCCACTTTTGTGTTCTTCTGTTCCACCTCTGTAGTACAAAAGCATATCTTAAATACCAATTTCATTTGATCGGTAACTTATTCTACTTGTTTTTATTCTGTTGTTTTAATTAGAAATATTAAAAAGCTTATAAATATATTTTTGTGAATTTGACATAAAAGATTACATACTTTTAATAAAGTTAGAAAAATGCCATTACAAAGGTAAAAACAAAATTCCCTGTAAATCACTTTAAGAAGTCAAATATCACCTAGTAATGGGAAGGTACATTTTTTATCAGAATTTTTGATTACTGATTAGAAGGTGCTTCTAAATTTTTGACCGTGCTCCTAAATTTTTAAAATTAGGAGCACAAGCGCTCCTAAAAAGAAAAGTAAGCGTAGAGCCCTGATAATGTTACAAAAGATTTCCATTTCATATAAATGCTGTTCTTTTTAACTTTACTGAAAAAGTACCAGTTTCCACAAAAAATATTAAACAGCACAACAATGGCGTTTGGTGTCGTACTGTATCGCGTACCTTGTCAGTGTCGTGCACTTTGCTTGGCCATTTGTTGGGATAAACAGGAAAGTGTGTTCCAGCTGTTTTCAACATTGATAATAATAAGAAATCTTTCTTGAGCAGCAAATTAGAATGATTTCTGAAGGATCATGTGACAATGAAGACTTACAGGAATAAATCACGTCAAAATAAATTAAAATAGGAAACAGCTATTTTAAAATGTAATAATATTTTACAATATTACCGGTATTACTGTATTTCTGATCAAACAAATGCAGTCTTGGTGAACATAAATATATATATATACAGTATATGTGTGTGTGTGCAATGGTACACATATTCATACTGAAATTATTTTGATAGTTTCTTTTGAAAGAAACAAGTTTCAAAACTTTCAAATTCTGTCAATTTTATCAGGAAATTCAGTTCAAACGGCAGCGCAGAGTGCGAGTGATTGCACCCATTCCATCCCTTACTACTACTTATAGCACAAAATACATATGACTGAACATCAGAAGGTATGTTGAAAGAAACCGTATAACTTATTAGAATGTATCACGTCCCATAATCATAAACAGCCACTCTCTCCGTTTAAATCTAGATTAAAGACATCTCTTTGGCCAAGCATTCAAATAATGCATCTCATAATCTTGTACTGCAGTTATATCTGATCAAATGCACATTATTATTCTTTAGTTTGGGTTAAACATATAAATTTTGCTTGGTTGGAACAGCAGCTACACAGGAATAAATCACGTCAAAATAAATTAAAATAGGAAACAGCTATTTTAAAATGTAATAATATTTTACAATATTACCGGTATTACTGTATTTCTGATCAAACAAATGCAGTCTTGGTGAACATAAGAGACTTTCAAAAACAAAAAATATCTTACCAACTTCAAACTTTTGAATGGTAGTGTAAATATTTTGCGAACATATCTATAAAACTAAAATGTCTCAACCTTAAATTACAAAATGTTTATCAGCTGACTGCCAGAGACCTTAAAATTTTCCTCCCTATACTAGTTTGAAGCTCACTGAGCAAAGCACTGGCACCACGCACCCTTCTGAAGCTCAGCAAGGTCAAAGCTCATTCTGTAATGAAATGACTCACTGTGAATTATCAGCTTAAGTCTGACTCAAGTAAATGCGGCAAAGTCAAAGCAGAGCCTTAAGTATTCTAATATTTACCAAAGCAGGTCAAAAGTGCCCAAGTTTAAGTCTCTGGTGCCAACGAATACAACACACTCTCTGTTTCTGTCATATGTGTGGTTTGTGCTTTCTGCAGCTCTTTGTGTAAAGAAATCTTCAGCCATGCAACAAACACACACTCCCTAAGCACAGATATACACACATATCCAGTTAAATATACGCAAGAACATACAATTCTCAAACAAGGAAGGAAGGAAGAGTAACAGAGTAGCCTAAAAGGAAGGTGGCTGTAGTAAGAGAGGACATCCTTTCTGGATATCAAACACAGCAACAGGAAGAGGAGGAGTAAAGGAAAGGAGAGTCACTGTGACACTATGTTATGAGTCTGGCTTCAACTTACTGTAACATTGAACAATATTCTTTTATGAATACACATATGTGCAGTGCAGTAAGCGAGGACTTCTATCCATCAGTCTCAAGCTTATAGCACACAGGACTACGGGTATATTAGTGATCTCACTTCCTGTTATCATAAGGAGTGGCTTAATTTTACCTCATCAATCTCCCTGATCCAGCGGTCTATCCCGTCAAAAGACCAGCGGTTGGTGATGTCATACACCAACAGGATCCCCTGTAAAGGACAAACAAACATGTATTGTTAGCCGGTATCCTGTTCATGCAGTGAAGAGGGATGTTAACAACACTTCCACATGAACTGCACTCTGCAAAACCATTTCAACACACTCCAAGCCCACTAGTTAATTTTTTGTCTTGTTGTTGGATTCAGACTTTTGAACCCAACTGTATATAAACATATTGGTCCATCCTTGTAGATTAAGTGAACTGTACTATGTCATGCATGTCCATTTTTGCCTTAAGCAAAGCACATAGTACAAAGTTAATCCTTCAAGCAAGAACAAGTGCTTTTAAATGTGCTTTTACCTGCGCTCCCCTGGAGTAGGACCTGAAAATGGTGCAGAACCTGCCTTGTCCCGAGGTGTCCCTAAAAGCAAACAGAGACAAGTCAGGACAAACAGCTTGTAAACACTACGTCAGTTAAGCTTGACACATGAGCTCTTTCAAAACACTGTGAGCTTCCTTCATAGAGAGTATTTTAAGGCATCATTAGAGCATTTATAATGTGAAAGCTGTTCCAAAAGGGGGGCATTAAAATTATGCTGCCTTTTAAGTTACCTTCTTTTGGCCATAATTAATTTCTTAGCAACGAAGGCAAAACCAGAATGCACTGTGACAAGCTCTGTGAAAAATTCATCTAGTATGGCAGATGATTATAAGAAAATATTAAAAATACGTTTTTAATTTAAGAACGTATTTGTGTGCTATCCATTTCCTATGCTGTTAAGAGCATCGCATTAACTTAACAACATGCTAACATCAAACTAATGCTCCATGCTTCAGCACTATATGTGTCGCACTGAGAGTTAATGCCTATGAAAAGCGTTCCAAATCGGTCACTTAAGAGGTTCTATTTCAGTTACAATGCTCCCTTAAAAGGCAGCTGCCTATGTAGGCAGTAAATAGAAAGGCGGCTCACTACATTTTGGAACAAAGCTATGTGTTTGAAATCGACACTGTTTTGGACACTGTACTGAGTTTAGAGTTAACCCAAATACAAGATGACTCAGGCACTTGAGTTGGTGTTACAGGCTCGAAAAATGAGTTTTCCACTGTGACACGTCCGCACCCAAATAACCTTTCCAGCTGCCTACTCTCTCTATCTGTGAGAATTTCTCACAGTTAAGCTAGCCGTAATGAGGTGGAAAGTGTTAAATAAATCTGCATAAAAAAGTCAAAAGTGGCAGCTGCATTTCTGAAGATGTGGGACTGAACCACTCTAAGGGAAAGGTGTTTAGTGCTGCACTTCCACAGTCACATCAAAGAGCTCATCAAATATACCTGGGATCTCTGAAACGTGCATTAGCAAAGATATATGTAGGTTGAGATTAAAGCCCAGTGGAGATACTCTACAAGGAATATGCAGTAAGAAGCCCAATTACTATAAAGCATTACATTATATAGCCCAGCACATTAGAGTAGACCATGGGAATTTCCTCAAGGGTTTTGCGAATTGCTCCTCAGGCATTGACCACACTCTGTATTAATGCTAATGAGCTTGTTGTTTGTCTTCATAATGTGTAATTCTGCCGTCTTATACTCCAATGCCTTCCTGATTAGGAAACTTTACTTTCTCTCTGGGGAAGTGGCTAAATGCTTTTATGGATGTATAACAGAGAGTGGGCTCGAGATTTCTTAGCCTCCTTCTGTTAATGGAATGTTTACTTGATTTATGAGCTCTTGCAATTGTGTATTTTATATACAGTTATACATAAAAAATATTATGTATAACTAAATATTGTAGAAACTTAATTTGCTGTAAAGTTGCTTTGCAACGATTTGTATCATGATAAATGATTTGGATCGCTATAAAAATAAACTTGAATTGAATTGAATTGAATAATCACTCAATCAGTGTTTCAACCATGGGAAGGAGTTAATAAAACAGCTTGTAAACAATACGTCACATTTACCTCAGGAAAGTCATTCAGTGTCAACAGCTTGCTAGTTCATGAGAGAAAAGTCTAAAGTCTAGAGAAGAGCATTTTGCTAAATATATGCACTCTATTAGCCTGTACATTCATTATATTTTGCTTAACCAGTTAGTGATGCCTTAATTAATGTATGTTTATATAAAACTCTCATGAAATATTATGACAGCCACTCTGTAAATTATTATATTTCAACAACAAACTGGAGTAGAAACATAATTTTATAATAAGACTTACATTTAGAAAAGTAAATCTAAAATTTATTTGAGCTTTTACAAATAATGTCTTAAATATTTTAGTTATTAATATTTTTACATATTTGTATTAATAATAACAATACTACTAATACTTCTACTAATATTTACTTTTAGTTATTATGCCGCCCGCAGTTGGAATCAGCTTCCAGAAGAGATCAGATGTGCTAAAACATTA